TTCCTTAATGTTTGCCTCCATCTAAAGCTGCAGCGTCTGAAAGCTCCTTTAATTCCTCTTTATCAAACACAGTTTATAACATGACATGTAGAAAGGATGCAGGAGGATGAGACCTTAATGGTCTTCATCTATTTGAGCTGCTGCCTTAACAGGTTTAACCAGGAGGGAAAAACATCAGCAGTGACCCTCAGCTCTGCTCCATGTCAATCTAGGAGGGTCCAAATAATCAGAAATTCATCGGTCTGCAAAGAGAAACAGGAAAAAATCCCAGAAAGCTGCCAGTATAACCAGAAGTGGATGTCTTAGCAGAATAAGCCTGAGGTCAGAGCAGGAAATTAAACAAGAAATAAAAAATAAAAAATTCCTTCAAAATTCTCAGGTTCTGCAGCTGGTTGAATATTAAAGTGAATAAAAAGAGAACTGGGAAGAGAAACAATGCGGGGAGGGGAAGTGTGGTAATGTGGCCTTTTTGTTTAATGTAATGTGGCCTTTTAAGTTAATTGAATGTCTTTTTCTAATTTTGGATTTGCTTTATTTTAAACTTACTTACTTTCTTGTTAGTTTCATTTTTGTGCGTCGCATGTGTTTTTCTGATTTTGTTTGGAGGTCACATTACCGCTCACACCTGGACACGCCCACAGCAGCTTCGCAGGTGTTCCCTATCAGCCACACGGCGTGCAGACGCTGATAAAAAAGGCAGCTGCTTGGTTGGAGGGAGACATATTAGAAAAAGACGTGCAATTAACTTGACAAAAAGGCCACATTACCACAGAAGGACCATGATGAATAGAACCATCAAGCACGGCGGGGGAGGGATGATCATTGGGGACTTTCTCTGAAGGCAGTCTGCTATGAGCTCCTCTGCAGAGCAAAGTTAGCTTCGGGTGTGAGTCCATCCATGATTGACCAAACTGGGTCAAAGATAGAAAATCCATCCTAGATCAGAGCAGAGCTGCAAACAAAGGCTGATAGAGAAAATAATGAAGGGCTTTAAACGGCCTAGTCAAAGTCCAGACCTCAGAGACTTTAATAAACTTAAAAGAAGAGAAAACTACAGAATGATGCATCATGGGAGTGCTTACTGTATCACAGCTTCTCCTAAATACCTTCAAAAGCAGCAGATTCTGCAGGGAAACATTAAAATGTTCCAGTTTTAATCTGCAGGAGGAAACTTTCAGCTCTCAGCTCTGATTTCTATTCTAAAGAATGTAAATAATGATGATGATTGGCTGAAAGAAGAAAGACGTTTTAATCAGATTTATTCCTTAAACTCCCTCTAACTTTTCCACTCCTTGGTGTCTGATTGGGTTCACCTTCTGCCTGCAGAGGTTCTGTTTCTGTTGCTCTGTTTGTTCCTTAGAAAGCGCGCTGCCTCCTGCAGCTGTTCATGCAGATGAGCCCAGAGCAGCCTGAAGCCTCTCTGTTAAAAACACACAGATCTGCGCTGCATGTTACAGACCAGTTAACAGGGTTCTGACCCAGCAACATATCAGGAATAAGCCGCAGTGGATCCTCACCTCTCTTTGTTTACTTTCTGCTTCAGGATGTAAGAAACTGATCTAGATCAGTTAAGTTTCCCTCAGAGAGACAATGAGCCTCATTCAGCATTAAACACCAACGACACATTTGGTTTTATATGTTTAAAATAAAACAGGATGGTTTGTGAGCAAAGTTTTTCCTGATAAACTTTATTCCATGTTTTACTTTAACACAAACATTATAGAGTCTGCTGATTAAACCCTCTATGAGTGAGCAGTTGCTGTCAAAGGAGAGAATTTCTGACTGATTTCAGGGATTTATCCTGAAAAAAAGGACTTTTTTGCATAAAGCTGTTAAAGTTTAAACTGATATTTGAAGCTGGAGCGTTCATGGAGATGTGAGCAAACCAGAGGTGAACAGAGCTGAGGACGAGACATCTCTTTATCCAGACCATCTTGAAGATTAAGCTGGATCCTCAGATAACATGGCTGGAGTTTGTAACCTAAACTGTGACCATGCTGACCATGGTGCTGAACGTGTGACTTTCTACAGGTGTTTGGTTCTTGGTTTCTTTATGTCTTTATTCTGACCCGTTTCTTTATTCTTCATGTTTTCAGCATTGTCTTGTTGTTTAGTCATATTCGTAAAGATCTTACTGTATTTAGTTTATTTTTGCCATGCTTTGATGTTTAGTATCTTAGTTTATTCTGCTGTTTAGTCCTTTTGTTCCATTAGATTTATTTATCTAAGGTCTCTGTTAGACTTTTTCACTCTTTTTATGTCTCTTTTGTTTTACTGTTTTCATACAGCCTCAATGAGCAGATTGTGTTCTGCTATTTTGAGTGTAACTGTAAAGGAAATATGAAGGTCTGAGACATGCATCCGAAGGTAATTGTAGGTTCTTACTGTCCTTATTGAAGCTTTAGCTTGATGCTCGTCAGACTTCCTTGTATCCAAAACACTCTGAAAATAAATCCACGAGTCCACTTCTTGATTTTAACGATTTACTTGAAAACTCAACGCAACATTACAGAAAACATAAAATACATCCACTAAATTAAGGCCTTTAAAGTCCAACGGAGCCTGGGAAGGGTGAAGTCAAAACACTATTGACCTCAAATCTCCTTCTAAGTCCCACTGCATTCCTCACCTGGCATGAATATAAACCCCTCCCCTTCGTGTTTTTTTTTTAAATGTCACAATAAAAGTCATATTTTACTCACAATATCAGTAAACTGAACATATGAAAATGTTTTTAATGAATCATTAAATCAAAAACAATATTTATCTTACTTATAAATTTGCATATTTTTAAATAAAATAAAAAAATAAATATTGTTACTCAGATAAACTGCATTTAGGCTCCTACAGTAATTATCATAATGATTGTCTAAAAAAAAATGCAAAATATTATTTATATGTGTTACGACCACCCAGGCCACAACATATTTGAGGACACGAGACAAACATGAAGTTCAAAAGAATTATTTAAATTTTTAATCTCTAGAATTTCGGCCAAAAAAAAAAAAAAAAAAAAAAAACAGAGAGTCAGATTTTTTCCCAGTTTCCCCTTATCCAAAAAAAAAAAACTCTAAGAGAAAAAACCCCCCAAAGTATAAACAGAAAGTTGGACCTGGTGAGCCGATCCAAAGAAAACGTTACAGCAGAAGGCCAACCCTGTACAGGGCCGTCGAAGCCTCTGCTAGTAACGAACGATTTACAGAAGAAAAAAGAAATAATTATCAACTCTAAAATTTAAGTGACTCAACTGAGGTCTATACAACACTAAAAGGGAAAAAAAAATAAACAAAAATAATTAATGTGCCCAACGCACATAACAATATGTAATGATCTTGGTTCTGTTGGTTTTTCTCTAAGTTTTCAGTTTCAAGTTCATCCAGGTTTTTCATTGTTTTCTAGCTTTATTGGTGGTTTCTAGATTCATTTAAGTTTCTTAGGTTTTTCTGTCTGTCCTCTGTTGCCCCCTTGTGTTCTTTTCCCTTGGCTTCCTCCTCAGCTCTGGTCACACCTGCTCCCTATCAGCTCGTTAGTCCTGCCTTTGTTCAGTCAGCCATAAATACTCTCCCTCTGCAGTCCCTCTTTGCTGGTTCCTTGTCTTACTTTTTCTCACCCTGGCTCCTTGATGGTTTCCCCCCTGATGTCTCCATGGTTCTGGTTTGTGTTTGATTTTTAAATTGGATTTTTGGATTCCTGTTTTTGTTTAAGAAATTTAAGTTGGATTTTGGGATTCCTGTTTTTGCTTCCTGATCTTTCATTAAACCTTTTAAGAACTCACCCCTGCCTGTCAGCCTCCACATTTAAGTCCTCATAAAAACCTAACAAATCGTGACAGTATAGTACACTTCATATAGGTAGTCTGTCTTAAAGTGCTAAAATAGTTTAATATAAATAATAAAATGTCCTAAAACATGAGAAAGTTTTCTTTGTCTGCTGCTCCCATCTGATCTGATAGAGAAGGAGCCGCAGTCAGATTCACAGCAGATTAAGCTTTAAACAGCTGCACTTTGTTCCAGTATGCAGAAAAACAAGATTTAATGTTGCTTTGAGTGGGGAACATTAAAGGACTTAAAAGGAGACAAAAAACCTCTGACCCTGATTAAGAAATGCACACTTTTATGTCCTTTACAGACTGTGATGAAGTTTCTCTAATGCTGTTAATATTCTATTTTGTTTCTTCCTATAAACATAAAACAATGTTGAAGTTCCAACATTATTTTTGTTCTGGTTCCTTATTAATTTACGCGGCCGGTCTAGACATTTCTTTTCTTTATTTTTATAATTCTAATATTTCTGATGGTCCAAATGTGTTTACATGCACATGGAATCTTTTTGCAGCATTAGATATTTTTCACATGTGAGTTTAAACATCTCTTTCAGAAATGTGGAAAAAAATACACACAAACTGCAGCTTTATTTTCAGATTTAGAAAATCCCTTTGCATGTGTTAAATGGTAACGTTTTCCTATCTTCCTCCCATTAATTTGCACGGTTTGGTCATTAAAATACAATCTGCATATTGATGAAGGCAAACATGCAAAAAAGGTTTGCAAGCTGTCTGATGAATTGCAAACACAAATCACTTTGAGCTTTCTTTGAAGGTCTGCTCCGTCCGTGCAAACGTGTTAGTACCTTTATTTTTTTTAGGACACGGAAACCTTCTAAAGAGCAGGTTCCAAATGTTTCGTTTTATTATGTTTAAACGAGACCTGCAATAGACTGGGGACCAGACAGACACCAGCCTTTGACGGACAACTGAATTTAGTTATTTTTCCTGGTATTTCGCACAACAATAACTGTCAGTATTCACTTCATTTTTTTTTTTAGAACTTAAGGTTTTTATTAAATGCATAACACACACAGACAGAAACAGTATATATTACATATGATTCAAACAAATATGTAAATATAATTGTATATTTAAACCCATGCATAATTTGTTAAACCGACAATAGAATATCTTCAAATAAATAAATTAAAGAATTAAAATAATTGATGAGTTTAGAAAGGATTTTTAATAAAGAGATAATTTAACATAACTGCTTTGATGTTTGAGACATTTTTCTTAATGACGACTGAAGAACTAAAACTGATGACGCTGCAGTTAGTGACATGGATCGTATGCATTTTCCATCAGGTTGGATCCATGAGGAGATCTTCGCTGACAAACCCTGGCATGGACGAGTACAGCTCCTTCTCCTCGGTTTCCACGTTGTGTTGTTTGGTTTCTCTAATCTCATTTCCGACGTCCTTGGAGACCCCGGGGGTCTTCTTCCCCTCCAGCCAGTACGTCACCATGTCCCCTTTTCCCTGTGGGACAGTTTCAGACTGTTAGTGGACCCAGCTCCCCCAGTAGTGTTAGAAGTGGTGAAGGTGGGAGGCTCACCTTGACCTGCATCGTTCCTCTGCACTCCAGCACGTAGCCACCGATCTCCTCCAGCAGGTAGAAGGTGCTGGAGCTGCTCTGGATCTTCAGAGCTGAAAGGATCCAGAGGCAGATTGGTAAAGACAGAGTTTCAGTGTTAAATCAGCGTTTTTTGGTAAAACATGGCTACCCAGGCTTGTGGACTCCATCCTGGAAGCTGTGTTGACCGTATCACCAAACAGGCAGTATCGAGGCATCTTGGTCCCCACGACTCCAGCCACCACCGGACCTAGACGGCATGAAGGGAGACGTTCAAAGAATGATGCATGAACAGGGTTTGTGTTCTCCAGCTGTCTGCCTACTACCTGAGTGAATTCCTGCTCGTATCTGCAGCTGCATGTTGGGTTTGTGGGGGATCCTGAAGTTGCGACAGACACCCACCAGGTCCAGGGCCATGCTGGCGATTTCTGAGGCGTGCAGGATGCCGTTCTCCTGAGGAACGCCTGACACCACCATGTCTGCACAGAGGTTAAACCAGACAAACAGGTCATATTGATCTGGGTCTGACCAGGCAGGGAACTGAGGGTGTGTCTGGGTTTATTCTCACAGGCGTCTCCGATGGTTTCCACCTTGTAGACGTCGTAGTTGTCGATGATGTCATCAAATGTGGTGTACAGCTTGTTGAGGAAGTCGACTACCTGGTAAGGAGTGCTGCTGCTGGACAGCTGGGTGAACCCTACGATGTCACTGAGACCAAACACACACAAATGAATTTCCAATTTTAACCAAACTTTGAAGAAAAGGAAATGCAAATGTGTTTCTAACTGTTTGAAGCGAATAAACCAAGCATCATAAAGGGTATCGCCACCCGATATCGTCACACATGGCTGTAATAAACAGGAAGTAGAGCCTGCAGTCTAGAATGAACCACAGATCAATAATCCTTTTAATGAATGTGTTGAGATCAGGGAAGTTGTTTTTATGCTAACATGTCAGCTAATAATGGCGATGTTACTTCTAACCAGAGGTGTCAAGTAACTTTGTTACCTTACTTAAGTAGACATTTTAGCTATCTGTACTTTACTGGAGTAAATATATTTTAGATAACTTTTTACTGCTACTTCTTACAATAGAATCATTAGTTTTGTTTCATTTAAGTTCATTTTCATTATGGACTTTTGGTATTTAAAAAACTAAAAACCATTAAAATAATTTGTTTAATCCAGACAGTTAATTCCTTTGCGGATGGACTCGATGCTGCCCCAACTTGTTGTTCACCACATACCAAAATAAATAGTTTTTTAAGATGATGTAAAGTTAAATTTGACAGAGTTACCAATAGTTATAAAACTAAAAAAATAAGAAAATTAAGTATAGGGAAGTTATTATCCAGAATTGTACAAAAATGTGCCTTTGTTAGGGTACTGCAGTGACCAATATGAGGTGTAAAGAATCAGTCCTTTTTTTCCTGATTACTTTTATACTTTAAGTAGTTTTAAAAATTGTACTTTTACACTTTTACTTGAGTAAAAAGCTTAAGTTGATACTTTAACTTCTACTAAAGTATATTTAAACTGTAAGATTTATACTTCTACTTGTTAATACTTTTGACACCTCTGCTTCCAAACATGTCTGCGCGCATCTAAGGAACATCTAGGAAGACTCCAACAGCAGAAACGGCTGATCAGTCATGTGAGTAAAAGTTGGCTGATTCAGAAAATGTTTCCATCTCCTGTTTTACACATTAACCCTTTTTTGCAAAAGCTAAAAACCACCACAAGCAAACATAAAAAAATTGTTTTGCGAATTTAAGAAAGTTTATTCGAATTTTAAAGTTTCCATCGAGTTGTTCTGATGCGATACTTCAAATATGCGCATTAGAAAATGCTGACGGAAATGAAGCTTGTGCATCTTTAGGGAGGAAAAGTTTACCTGAAGAAGACAGTGGCGCTAACGTAACTCTGAGCCTGTAATGGTTTCCCCTGACGTAGATCATCCGCTACCTGTTTAGGAAGCATACCTTCAGGAGACACAACAACATCCCGCTATTACAACTAGACCTTAGAGACCAGCTCCTGGACAGTGGATAGACAGCACCTGGTGGGATGGCTCCACTTTGCTAAAATGAGGAAACCTGAGAGGTATCCTCTTTTTCAGCCGTGCTGTGAAAGTTTTCTCTAGAATACAAGAAGGAACCTCTACGGCAGGCATCCCCAAAGTCGGTCCTCGAGGGCCGCTGTCCTGCAGGTTTTAGATGCTTTCCTGCTTTAGCACAGCTGATTCTGATGGTCGCAGTTCAGTAAAAGCCTGTCAGTCAGCAATCAACGTAAATCAGCTGTGCTTGAGCAGGGAAACCTCTGAAACCTGCAGGGCAGCGGCCTTCGAGAACAAGCTTTGGGGATGCCCTCTCTACAGAATTCAGGAGAAGTAGTTTGGCCTGTGGAACAGCAGACAAGGTTCTTATCCACAGCCTAAATGAGTTTTATAGATGTAAAAAGCTAATTTCCTTGAGTAGTATTGGGGGACGCTGCAGGCCTACAAGACAATGAAGATTGTAAGCAGTTGCAGGAAGGGTTTTTTACTCCAGCCTCTCCAAGAACCTCTGAATGGTAAACCATAACTGTCTGCAAGGACTAAATAACCATTTGGACCAGAGAACACCCTGGGATGCCAATAAATGTGCAAGGGAGAGGAATGTTTGGGTTTCCCCACTGGACCTGTTGTATTTTCAGAATGATCTTGAATGGATTAGGGTGATATTATGTATTGTCATTGGGAAGCCATGATGACGTCAGAATTAGTGGATATTTGAGGACCCTAATCCAGAGCTGAAGAAGTAGAGATGACTTCTTGCTAAATTTTATGTAGAATTAAAAATACTGAAGCCATATTCCAGAAATGATTGACAAGAAACTCAGGAACCAAAAACTAGGAGACACTATGGAGGAATAAAACTAAGGAATGAGATAATGAAGAGAATCCAGCAAACACTGCAGAGGTGGAGTATATATGCTAAACAGAACAATGAATGGAGTAATCAACTGATTGGGAGCAGGTGTGGACAGAAGGAGCTAGAAGGGATCTAGGGAAAAGGAGCCTGACACAAGGGGGCAGCAGAGAGTAAACAAGAAATACATAAGCGCTCAAAAAACAACCAGAAAACAACTAGAATGACAGAAATTGGAAATAAAACCAATGACCTAGAAAACACATAATAACATAAATCCAAGTGTAACAAAAAACTCAAAAGGAGTTTTTGAGCCTCTTACTGTACAGAAGTCTGTCGGTTTTCTGTTTCTCAAGCATCAGATCCTGAGTCCTCTCAGCCACAATGACCTCCAGGTGTTTACTGTACTTCTCCATCTGGAAGACAGAGGAGAGCTCCTCAGTCCAGCAGATCAGGGGAAACTAAGATGGACTAAAGCCACAGCCCTCACAGATTAGCATTAGACTACCTCAGTCTTCATAAAAGATGTTTAGACGTCTGCTTAGTTTAGTTTGTCAGTTTTTACAATATATAAAGCAAGAAAATAAAACAATTTTAGCATAAAAAACAAACAAATATATGTGATAATTCGGTAGAAACCAGTAATGATTTGTGTAAACAATTCCACCTGTTCATCCGTCGATACGACGAAGACCATCTATTCATCCTATGGTTGGGGAAGTTAGGGTTAGGTTCAGTTATAAAGTAGTTATTATTATGATCTCATACTTAAATAAATAATAGAAAGAAAGCTAAATTGTAGACATTTTTTGTAATTTGTGAAGCGTTTCTGCTATAACCTACTGATAAGAGTAACATTTTAACTCAAAGAATGATTTTATTTCATGATAAGCTTGTGTATTTACCAGGTTCATCATCATGTCTACTGGGCTGACTTTGATGGGATTGATGCGGTGAACAAACTTCTTCACTTGGTCAAACGTAGGTCGATGGACGGGGTTATTAGAGCGACATCGACGAATCAGCTTTGCAGGCAAACACAGATAAAAGCAGAGTTAAAGTCAGAGTGAGGTTAAAATAATCAAACCACAAAATTGACATGGATACTTTGTCTTAGGGATTTATTATTAAGAAGAAATAATAAAGTAGCCAATACCCTGTGTATGCCTGTAATAAGCATGTTTTTAAAACAAAGTAAACAAATGTGGGATAAGGCCTTTTTATTTTAACAATAACATTTCAGGCAATTCCTGTAAGTAAAGAGGTTTGTGTTCACACCTCTGCATAGTCTGCAGGACAGGGGCAGGTTTTGTCAGCTTTACTGGAGATCAGCTCTGGTAAAGGAGGACACCACGCACACTCCAAGTTAGACTCTTCTGGCTGCAAACAAATTAGTTTTAGTTATTTGTTTTTTTTTCTGTTCATTTGTACTTTATTCTATGAAACTAGACACCAGAGACCACAACTTACAGGGACTGGGTCACTGCGAGTAGCGATTTCCAGAAGAATGACAGAATAGCTGAAAGGACACAAATCAACTTATTAACAGAAAACCATTGGCATTACTCACAGTCTCAATTTGTAATTTTTTTCAGATGTGATCTCTTGATGATTTTAAATAGGTGGTCTGTATTGGTCATGTAAAGAGTGCAGCACCTGAACACATCTCCAGCGAGTGTCGGCTCCACGCTGGAGTTCTGAAACTCTGGTGGCATGTATACCTCATGGAGCCTCTGCTGATAAGAGGACAAAGGCTCCACCCCATCGCCCCTCCGGTATGTCCTCAACCCGTAGTCTGAAATTGGAGACAAATTCATGGAAAAACATGCTTTGCAACCGTTCTACACACATTGTATACAATGGTTGGGGGCTTGTCCGGGATCTGAATATAATTTTATAAGTGCAATGATCTGAAACTTCACAGCATTAACTAATAAAAGTTATTGTATGGAAGAGGATTAGGGCTACTGGGGTAAAAAAAAAAAAGCAGATTTTTTTTTTGTGATTTTGACATGAGAAAAAAATCTAGAATTATGACTTTAATCTCAGAATTCTGACTTTTCCCCCCATATTAAACTCAAATAAAAGATCAATTAATTTTTTCAATTATTTTTTTCCAGTGGCCCTAATCCTCTTCCATATTACAGTGTCACATCTTTACATTTTAGAAATAAAAAAGGTAATCTAGCAAAATCTGTTTTTCTGATGTAGGAGTCATGTAAAACAGACAAAGAGGATATGATGATGTTAGAGGCATATACCCTGATTTCTCAAAGATGTTAAGAAAAGAAAAAAGTGTAATTGATTAAAACACAATACACTATTACTGTAGTTGGCATTCAGTTATATTTTTAAAGAAAAAAGTTGATATTACTTTTGTGAATTTGATGATTTCCAGTTTTTGAAATAAATACATATTCAGACATGAATGTAAAGGTTGCCTTCAATTGATAGATGTTAAAACTTTTGCTCAGATGACCTGTTATTTTGCACACCCAGCGGTCATCTAGCACACAGTTCAGAGACTTGAGTCGGCCATGACAGATCTTGTGCTGATGGAGGTAGGACATTCCTCTGGCGATGTCAGTAGCGAAGGAAAACCTGGCAGCCACAGAAAGTAGAAGTCATTACCGTTATAGTCATGTCTAATTAACCAAACAAGCTGCTCCCTCTTCAAATCAGAGGTTCACCTGAAGCCCCAGTTGAGGGGGATCTCCTCGTTCAGAAGGACATCATGAAGACTCCCCTTTGGGCAGTACTCTGTTACTATGGCAACATTTGGTACTTCAATGCATCCGCCAATGAACTTACACAGGTTTGGATGATCGAGCTCCCTGAAAAGAGATATACAGGCAGGGTCTGATATTTTTCTAATGAAAGTTAGTTTGTTTGAGTCTTACCTGACTTGTTTGACTTCCTGTCTGATGGTTTTGGAAAGAGAGAAGGACTTTGATTGGATCTTTTTGATGGCCACTGTTCTGCCGTCGCTGCAGAGAAAGAGATTTTTTAATAAAACATGACATGGTGTGATTTAAATAGTCGGACAGTTGGTTGAACATGTGGCCGTACTATATCCCGGTGCAGGTGAACGGCCCCTTCCGGTTGGTTGGTTGACCTGTACAGGTGCTGAGGGCGGTCACACAGCTCACATTGCTGTCTGTGTGTCCGACAGGAACGCTCATGATGCTGCCCATGGTCATATTGGTTTCCTGATCTAGACAGAAACAGACCATTCACACATTCATCAACCATTAAACTGGTTTCTGTCGTTTTAAAAGAAACAAAACACGATCAAAGCATTAACATTATTTTGTTATACACCGTTACGTTAACTGTACCTTGTTTAATTGTCGAGAAGTCAATGATCCAGCTTTCGTCCCACAGCATCTTCTCCTTCTGATACCTTAGCCACTGCAGCGACAGAAGTCTCAGCTTAATTGTAAATCACAGGGTTTGTACCAGTCTGTTCACAGAGCCTGTGTTGTCTGAGCTCCTACCACAGCGGTCAGGACAAAGGAAAGGCAGAGCAGGCTGAGCGGCAGGCCGATGGCCACCTTAGTGGAGGGACTCATGGGACATTCTCCACAGTCAGCTGGACACGTGGAGCACTGCTCCCCTTCCTCACAGACGTTATCGCCGCAAACTGAACAGGAAAACATTCAGGCAACATTGTTCCAACCAGATATTGACAAACACAATATTAAAAGACACACTGGCATTATTTTAGCATTCTGTGCCATTAACATTACCTTTCTGCATGCAAGAAAACTGAAAGAGAGAATTTCCTTATTCTTTTGCATTAACTCAAATAAATACACTGAGATTATGTTACTTTAAACAGATTTTAGGAATAGAATATGATGTCAGGCTTTTGTTAGCTTGGATCTATCTTAAGGTAACAAATCAAACCGACTGCTTCCCTCTTTATGTGAAATTATAAAAATGGTAAGACGCCATTGTACAGCGCCAGAAATAGACTCCCAGATTTTGGTGCAAAATGTGAAAATCAACCCCACAAAAATAAAAGGTAGACACTTTGAAGATGTACTAAGGCTGGTAAGATGCGTTAATTAGCCTTCCTAAAACCAGGCATGTACCACTCAGAGAGGAAGAATCCATTACTCAAAGAGCAGCATTAAAGGCCAGACTACTTTTTGCATGAACACCCAAGAACGAAAGATCTAATTAATGGAGACATGTATTCAGAGGCTGATTTAGGAAATTTGGGGCCCAAGGCAAAGACAGACAGGGGGCCCTCTCAATTGAGAAGATAACACATAAAACAGACCCATTATACGATACAGACATTTTTATAGAATAGACATCCATTATCTGTTCTAGGTTGTGTCCCTCTCTTCTTGTCCCTTTTCTTCTTGTTTTCCTCTCTATGCTTTGTTCTCAGCTGACTTTTCATGCTGTCTCTAAAGGAATGAAAGATTTTTTTCCAAGCACCAAGCTCACTTAGCTCTAAAGGCGATGGCAAAAGTAAATAACACGGTCCTAAAGACAAGACAAGCTGCATCTTGAAGGATTTATTGAGACAGACAAACCCACTTAGGTCGTCCCTATGATCAGAGTTTAGATTAACACAAATACATAAACATTGTACCTCTATTGTACCCCTATCTGCCCATCAGATTATCTTTTACTGTTAGTTCTGTTAGGGATGGTCACAGTAATGGACCTACCCACAGCTGGCAGAACGGTGCTCTTTGCCTCTAATGCAGCCTGCATGGTCCCGACTCTGATGTGAGCAATGAGTGACGTTAAACCTGGATGGAACAGAACCACCTGCAGGATAATGTGATTTCATTAGGAGGTGTCAAAAGAAATCTTCTTCAAATCATCATGATTTAATGTCAAAGTACCTGAAATAAACTGATCACTATTTTAGGTATGTGCCTAGAAAGAAGGGCCCTTAACTGTAGCCTAGGATCCATTGAGACATAAATGAAAATATCATCTGCATACAATGATATAAACGAATAGCAATAACTTTTACTTCTGTTTTGCTTGATTTAAAAAACTAATTATAAAACCTAATACACTACAGTATAATGCATCTATTTTACAGCATAGAAACAGCATAACTTCTTTCATATTTCTTTTGAGAATTAATAACCCACATTTTTAGAAATTGACCCATTTTTTTTTTTATTTTAAGATTTTGTTTTCCTGTTTTTTTGGACTTTACATTAGATTCTTAAAAAAAAAAAAAGAAACCAAACAAGAACCAAAGACTGATAGCTGATTAATAGATTATTCAATTAATCATCAACTAATTCAGTAATTGATTAATCGTTATATTAGATTAATATATAATATAACTGGAATATAGAGCCTCTAAAACATGCCTTTACCTGACAGAGCATCCCACTTAAAGTCGTAATTATTGCAAAAAAATACATAAAAATCTTGAATTTAAGAAGAAAAAAAAATGTCTGTCTTTCTGCTCTATCCAGAACTCCTCAAGTGGAAAAGTTTTACTTTCACCTGCTTTGATTGTGCATAAAAATTGCTTAAAGGATCCTTTTCCTATCTGATTATTTATCGAAAAAATAATCAACCAATTAACTGATCATCTCACCTTGGCAGTCCAGTTGATCTGGGACATCTTACCAGTGGTGGAGATGGTGTGAGTGAAGATTTTTCCATCATCAGGAATCCAGGGACCACAGATGCTCTCCGTCTGTCCAACATGGAAACCAGTAAGATAAGACTGGGGGTATAACTTTAACAAATCATTTCAGATTCATTTATTTTTCTCTTCTTAAAACAGTCAAAGTATTTATTATTATAATTATTATTATTATTATTTTACAAAATTTGCACTTAATGTTCAGAATAAAAAGGTAGAATTTGACATTTTCACATTAAATTATGTGAATACGGTTTTATCAGTTATTCATATCAAGTATTTATTTAAAAGAAAACGATGCCCATGTTCACCATGTATCCCATTGGACAGGAGTGGATGTTAGCGTGATGGATGCAGCAGTTTTCCCCGTTAGCGTCTGCCCAGCTGGCTGGACAATCCTGATGTTCACAGAACCACTGGGCCGATGCAGCGTCTGTTATGGAACTGGAAGCACAGCAGCTCCAGATTAATAATCCACTCAGATTACAGTGAAGAAACATGTCCAGAGACCTCAGATATATGGCACCTTTGAGTGAAGACGCCGTTTTGGACCGCCCAGTGGTAGAAGGAGTCCCGGGCAGTGACGGAGTAGATGACGGTAAACATCTCCCCGGTTTTAACCGTCTCTGGAGGCCGGAGCACCCAGGCCATCTCCATCCCTACAGAAAGACACCCAGCAGGAAATCATTTCTAAACCTGCAAACTTTAAGGATAAACATGCAGATCAAAGCACACAGAAGACTGGAATTATTTATATTAATCTGGTCTTTTAATTCAGAGGTAAAACAGATTTTCACAGGAGAATATTTGTAATTTGGGTTTCCTTTGTTTTCCTAAACCAAACAGTTTTATATGTTGGAATATTTCTGTTATCATTGCAAGAAAACCTTAAACAGCAATAAAGATTTAACCATCAGAGGTTCAACAGGATTAATATTCACTGATGATCACAGGAATCTACAGACTTTGATTTTATTTACCTTTAACTCATCTTTAGCTGCATAATAACTAATGAATAGGACTGAAACAGTCGGATTAATAGTGATTAATTGATTATAAAAAAAACTATCAACTAATTTAGTAATCAACTAATCATTAACTGGAGCATAGAGACTGTCAAATATTAATTTTGGCTGACAGAGAAACCCACTTAGAGCAGTTATTATATCAAATCTGTAAAAGAAATTATTAAAACATTTTGCATTTAAATAATAAAAAAAATG